TATTATCGCGTGGGTGTCGGAGATCCTTCTTCCGAGCCACCGGCAAAGGGCACACATGGCGGTGCCGCGACGGCAGAGGGCGGGAAAGCCTCCGGCCGAGTGGGAGTGACGTAGCCTCCCTGAGTCAGGCTGCCGCCCCCGCCTCCCTCATGTCCGGGAGATTTAAAAGCGCGCGAGCAGCCCTGGCCGGCGACCTCCAAGCGCGGGCAGGTCGGCGGGGAAAGCGCGCGCGCGAACGCTGAGCGAAAGAAACGCCGCCGCGCAAAAGGGCCATGCCGAGGGCAAGCGCTAGACAGAGGCAACAGAGCAAGCCTGCTGCTTGGCACCCGGAGAATAGCCGCGGCGGCATCTGGCAGCCCTGCCTGAGGAAGCTGCAGCCTGGATCGGGAGCCCCCTGGAGTTTGCTCCTTTTTCTCCTCGCCTTGTGGGTGAGCGCGTGCAAAGGTCAGTGCGTGCTGCGGGGCTCCGTTGCCCCCTCGTGGGCTCCCCTTCCGCCTCCGCGCGTGCTTTACCTACCCGAGCACTCGCTTCTGCAAAGCCCGCTCGCTCCTGAGGGCTGCAGATTCTCCGTTCTCTATTACTTTCCTTGCCTTGTCCTCTCTGTAAGTCTGGGAAACTTAAAATGCTGGTGTCATTCACTGAATTTCTCAAATTTCTAGCTTCCTTCCCGCAAAACGTACAGGCATCTCCTGGTCTCTGCGTTGCTTTCTTTTTAAAAGGAGGGAACTCCAGTTTCCAATGTTTCCAGATTTATGTATTAGGGGCTATTAGCAAGCAGACGTTTTCACTGGCTTGTTGCAACTTGCTCCGCTGGACAGACAAGGGTGCTTTTAACGACCGCAGGATTTGCAGGCATCCCCGTGCATAACTTTGCCTACCGTGGCGATGCTAATCAGGTGAAGGGTGCAAAACTTTTATAGTTGAAAAAAAGTGTGGTTGATTCAGCTTGATATTTAAGCCTGTTTTCTACGTAGCTGACACATTCTTATGCGAACATTTCTTGACTGAAATTTTCTTACAGTTATGCAATATGAGTTTTGTTGAAGTCAAAAAGCTTGCCTAATTGGATACCAACCAAATTTGTCTTGCAAAAGAGAGCCTGTTTTCCACGTTGTGTTGCCTATTTTGTATTTTTAAAATTCATGTCTTGAATTTTGAAATGAGCTAAGTCAGGTTACCTGTAGGCTAAGTCAAATGTGGCAGGTGCTGTCTACTAATTTAGTGTTAAGCAAATGCAGAACAAGCTTTTAAATCCTGCTTCATTCCAGTTTTCTTCCATCCACCAAATACCACCTCAGATACAGCAGTTTTATTCCCTACCAAAAGATAGTTGGAGGTGGGCTGAATATCTCTAAAACACTGAATGGAGTGTAGAAAACTCATGTGTTTATAATTATATGAAATATTTTATCCTATTTTTCAAACAACATTGGTTCTCAAAGTGGCTTACATTAATCCAGTATTCAGTACAGTGTGAGTGGCGGGCACTGAAGAAAAATAAAAAAGAAATCCATGGTGCCTGCGATTTTAGTTTAAATAATGTAAGAAAGTTACTATGATGTGGTATCACTCCTATAACTACAAATTTGTTGTTACACAGGTAGAAAGTGGCTTGTACCAAGCAGATTTATTACTGCTGTTTACTACTACTGACATTTTAATTTAAATTTTAAATGAAAACCTCTAATTTAAATGGACAGAGTCAGTCATCCCAGAGAAAATGGACTTGTGTTTCCTTGGTGCAGCTCAACTCTATGATCCTAGCAAGGGTTAAAGAAGGACAAAGATGTTCTGTACCAAACAGACTTACAGATACTGCTGCTGGTGTTGAGGTTCAAGTGGATTTGTGTTCATTAAAGTTAGCAACGGAAAATATTTCATTGAGCTTTGAAAAATAGTATGGTAATATTGATAAAATTGATATATAACAGCTGTTTATATATCATATTGATCTGAATGATATTTCAGTTGGCTGTGTGTGCCTATGACAGTACTAATTCATGAAAAGTACAATCATATGGAAGCCTTATATTTAGCATAGGATAACTCCATTACTTGTTACATTCTCCAAAAATCAATATCCGTACTTAAAACTACAATATCTGAATAAACTCGGTGAAGGAGCAAAAAAGTAATTGCAGTGTAATATTTGTAAACAAATACAGTCAGTAAGAGTTACTACCATACACAGTATAAATTGCTTGTCAACAAAATCTAAATATGTTTTTATGTTTGTGTTAGGACTAGAGTGAACACTGCAAGGTTAAATGCAACTAAGACTCTAAGCCTATACTACTTACCTGGGGAAAAGCCCCTTGACTTCAGTATATATTGGCTTCATATATATATAGCCCCCTGGCTATATATATTTGTTTATATATAAACAATATTGTGTGTATATATATTGTATATATTGTATATATTTTATATATTAGCCTGATATTATGGAAAAGTGTTAAAACACTTTATTCTTTTATAGCCAGAGAGCTGTTGTACTTAGAAAACAATTTCAGAATGCATAGTTCTTGGATTTATATTCCTAGATAGCAAGTGGGCAGAACCTGTGGCTTTTAAGATGTTGTCAATTCTGTGTTTTCCTGGTAATACTGTCTTTTTTTTTTTTTTTTTTTACCCCAACTTTTTTTTCCTGACTTTTTTTTTTTTTTTTTTTTTTTTTTTTTTTTGCCCCATTTTTTTTTTCATATTTTTTTTTTTTTTTTTTTTTTGCCTAATATGGCTCCAAACCTGGTTGGAAAAAAACTGCCCAGATTGTGTGTGTGGGGAGGGTGACATAGCAGGGAGAACTAGCTATGGAGGACTTGATACTGCCTTTCTCCTACCTCTAATTCTATTCCATAGGTATCCCCATGCCTGGCATTTTAATTATCCCAGCAACAGAGCTTTGGAAACATTTAACTGAGGCAATGTACTGGTTGCATAACTAAACTGCCCACTTTGGCTTATTTACTCCACAGTGGATTGCAGCAAGCTCAGAGAGCCATTTAGAATATTAAGACTGTGGCTTGTCATGTCATCTGAACCCAGGGACCATGGATTATGTGATTATCAAACAACCTTCACAGAACCCTAAATAGGTTGTGTTTTTCCTTTGTTGTGTAACTGGGTTCATACAACACCATAAGCAATGGTGGTTATAAGCCAGGGGTAATTTGTCATGCTGCCTGAACCCAGCTTTTGCACAGTTAACAAGCCAAGCTGCTTGGGTTCAGCCAATATGACAAGCCACTTCTGGATTATAAACCAACATGGCTTATTGTGGTGCCTGAACCCAAGCATTGGGTGGGTTTGCACAATTGTGGAAGAACAGTATGACACTGGCATATTTTCCTACCCTGTACATGCTAGTCATATGCCAGAAAATTGCCATAATCATCCTTGATGAGTACACTTTGTCATATTGTCCAAACTTAGTGGAGATGGGAGAAGTTTACAAACTGCCTCACAGCTCTAGAACAAGCCACATTTAAATGCAGCCATGCCCACTTTTCCTATACTTTTAGAAAATTTCCTTACTAGATTTCCCCCACCCGACTTCTGTATCGAATTCTCATATCAGAGGTACTATATATTTACTATTCTTTCCCCCCTTAAGTTTAGTTAATTATATACTGCTGCACCCAACCAAAAAGGAATACCAAAGCAATTTACCAAAAAGGCAGGCCAGCTTCACAGTTTGAAAGCGATATTAGGTAAGGTTGAAGTCTGGCATACATTGTGTTTAGGGGGAAACTGGACGATAATATATTAAGGTTCTTGCATTCTTTATGTAGCTGTAAAGCTGACCATAAGGGCCATGAAATAAAAATTGTTGCACCAAGTGTCATTTGTTCTATCTGTGAATGGTGTTGTTTGGACAATAAACAGTTCTGTTTTGCCATTTCCATTCACAAGGGAAATACAGTCTGTGATTCAAATAAGCAAAAAATTAGCTATCCCTTCTGTTAGCTAGCTAACAAAAATTTCTGCTTTGAAATTATGTGCCAAAGTGTGTGTGTGTTGGAGGGGGGATACTAATTACTTAGTTTTAGACATACAGTGTTTCTGATCATAAAAATAGTTCTGAGCGTTAGAATAGTTGGTAATACTTGAATACATGTAATTCAGAAAAGGATAAGATAAAGCACTGACCTATTTAGAAGAAAAAATATCTACCACCAAATACATCTAGCTAAAGCTTAGTTCTGAGGCAAAAATATTGGACTGATTAATGCAGTCAAGCAGAATATAACCATGATAAGAATAGAGGTTAAAATATTAGTGCAACTTCTAAGCAGGAGGACTACAAAGCAGCAGAGTTAGGAATGTTTAAGCTCCATTGATTTCAGGGAACTGAGGCTATAATCCTGCACAAGCTTATCTGGGAGTAAGTCTAACTCAACTCATTGGGGCTTACTTCTGAATAGGTATGTACAGGATAGCAGTGTGTGGTACACATACTGATTGTGAGTCATTTTAACGTTCTTTGCATAACTCCACTGAAATGAATATGTACTTGTGCAAGAAAACTCGTATGGTAGATGTACTACCATAAATTTATGCTGGGTGGGCTCTGAGGTCTCCAGTAGACTGCAGTGGGAGACCTATATTATATTCTGCTTCTGCTGCTTTTGGCGCTAATGTGCTAACAGTGTTTTATTGTTTGCTATATTCATTTATTCTCACTGACCTGATCAGAAAGACACATCTCTGTATAATGAATAATATAGTATGGCTATAAAAACAAGGAATTCCTTTTTATTTCCAGGTGCACCGATGGCATCCCATGTTCTACAAGGAGAACAAATTCTGCAGTTGTGGAATGAGGTAGCGAGCAATATCCCCATGTTGTGTGCTTTTTAGTTATAACATTGGTGTGACAGTGCCATGTATATATATGGAGGGGGGAGGGGTGCAGGGCCAGGATGTAGACAGTCAAACAGAGGCACCAGGACCAGGGCAACCGAACTTCAGGTAAGACAGAATCTGAAAATCAAGGTTTAATGACAAGTTCAGGTTGTAGTAACCAATCAGGACCAGATCAGGAACCAGATATACATATCAGGCAGAACAAGGACATCATCAGGAAGAAGCTCAGGGTCAAGAACCAGGAAGTCACACAGAGGTGCAGGTATCTTGGACAGGATAACAGAGCTGGATACATGCAAAGCATCATGCAGGTACTTGAAGCGGGGTACATAGCAAGGCAAGATACAGGGGACAACAGGAACCAAATACAGCAAAGACCAGGCATGATGCAGGAGCTGAAACACAGTAGGAAAACTTGCATTGCTGAGGCAACACAAGAAAGGGTACACAGCAAGGTAGGATATAGGTCATGCATAAGGCAGGCACAACATCAAAGCAACATGGCAAGGCACATACAATATTTATTTATTTAAAACTTCTGTATGCCGTCCTTTATGCATGGCATCTCAGGATGGCTTACAATCATTAAAACAACCACAATAAAACAGCAATAAATAATTAACCAAAAATACAAATTAAATAAGTTAAATAAAAGTGACTGTTAAACATTAAAATTTAAATTAGTTTTTAAAATAACAGTTAAATAAAAAGGCTTTTTTAACCTGGCGTCGAAAAGAATATAAACTTAGCTCCAGACAAACCTCTCTGGGAAGCGCATTCCATACAAAGCAAGATGTAAGCATACATATTGTATGCATAGAATACACAGCAAGATGTAGGATATACAGCAGGAACTATCAGGCAAGGTGCAAACATTGCAGCTACTGAGGGACATGCATTGCTGAAGCCACATAGCAAGGGTCAGAACATGGGGCAAGGGTCAGGATACAAACCTCAAGGCAGGATACAGGTTAGGCAAGAAGCAATCAGAACCACAATCAACATTGCAGGGCAGGAACCAGCAGGAAAGGTGCAAGCACTGCAGCTAACAAAGAACCTGTGTTGCTGAGGCTGGTTCTGAAGGGAAGAGCTGAAATAGCTCTTCTCCCAGGATTCCCAGCTGGCACTCAACAGTAGACGGAGCTCCAGTAGGGCCTGGGAGCAATCCTGCAAGTGGGGTGGTTGCTGCTTTGGTTCTGGCCTGATCATGGCAGTGCATAAAATAGGATTCATAATTAAAGATTTTAGAATATAAAGAGTTTATTTGGCACTCTCCATATGGACCATAAGTCATTACTAACAACCCAGGAAACTTGTATTTATGTTTATGTTATTTATGTAGAACTTTTCCAGTTTGTCAATATATCTATTCACATATTTGAAAATAGGTGGGCAGTAGCCATTAAATGATCAAAAGTGAAGGAGCAAACAAAAAGAAGTCAAAATAAGTTGTTTTTCTGTATTAAAGAATAAATCAGGGGATGCCATTTGTAGAGACAGAGCCTATTACCCTTATGTGTTGATAAACCTTTTAAGAGCAGCTTAGCCTCACCATGTTGTGAAAGCAAGTTTACAGTGTTTCAAGAGTGCTAATAAAAATAAGGACATGAATAGGCAACAGTTACAGGAACTAGAGCTAGAAATTTAGAGAGTATGGGTGAAATGCCTTCATGCTAGCAAGAGCAGGAACAGATGAACCACCTAAGGCCTTAGGATAAAGTTACACCGCAGAAGAAAAATTTTCTCTCCATTCATGAATAGTAAAGACACTTGTGGCAGTTTAAATGTTAACAAATGTATCATAGAATAACCCGTGGGTCCCCATTATAGTACTAACCAGTATGTGAATGGGTCTTCAATGTGATGCCTGCAAGAATCTGATTTTTATTTTTTTTCTATATATATGATTTTGTATGAAATGCTTATGACTTTCTAGCAATCATGCATAGGTTTCAACAAAAGTGGACTAAATATCCAAATAAATGTCAATTTAAAGTTGGCATATATGGCATTCCATATACTGAATGCATTGTAAGGTTCTCCATCCAATGCATTACAGGAATTGAGTTTTATTCTTCTGAATCTGTAATATTAGTCTTTTATCTCTTAACTTATCTTTTAATTTCTACAAAGCAGGTTAATTTCTATAAAGCAGATAAATAATTTAAAACAGCATATACATGAGTGACTATCAAAAGGTGTCCTAGTACAAAATTTATCTGTGTAATAACCTATTCCCAAAAAGAAGCAGCTACTAGTCATTGCCTAAACATTTGGTTTAGCTACATAGCACAGCAGGGAATTGGTGAAATTAGAAATCTCTTATTAAAGAGACATTGTGGTGTCCAGCAGACACAAAACAAATGTGTCTCTTCGGTGGAATAAAATGCAGCCTAAGAGTCACAGGCATGACAGGTAGACATCAAAGAATTAATCTGCTGGTGTTGCATACAGCAGTTTCTCAAATTCCCAAAAATGCCCATGGGTCCAACAAGATCGAACACTGCTTGTATACAACTTTTTAATAGTTCAGGACCAAAATTCACATGTGTATTAAGTGACTTCTTAAGTTAACAGGTGTGTGTGATAGAGAGAGTGTGTAGGTGGGTATAGAGAGTACAAAATTAGCTGTGAGCTCAGAGGGATATGAAATGCAAGACTTGGTGATAAGTACTTAAAGCAGGGTGCAGAACCTCAAGCCAAAATTACGATTATGAACAAGTTGCCCTCCTGAGAAAACGGAAATTGGTCTTTAAGTCAAATTTGTATGTAAGTTGGATCATGTGTGGTCGGTTCTCCGCATTCACAGTGGTTAGGGACACAGGACCCCCATGAAGTAGAAAAACTATGAATATCTTTAGCCCCCACCTCCCCACCAGGGCCACTTTTTTGCAGCAAGGAAATGCCGGAAAGATTCCCCTTTCCAGACAGGTGGGGCAGAAGGACCTGCTTTGGGGGCTGCCCTCTCTACCCTGTCACTTCATCTCTCTCTATGGTGATGCTTTGGAAGCCCTTCCTTGTTCCCCTTCTGTTTCCTTTCTATGGTGATGACAATTTCCTGCAATAATTTTAAAAAATTAATAGGCTTTGTGGCAGTTCATTCATAGGTATGGGTTGTTCCTAACTTGGATGTCATAACTTGGGGACTGCCTGTACTTGAATGTGGCCCTGTGAAAGCTTCTCTGAAATAGAATTGGACTTAGCACTCATATTAAAATTCTCTCTCTCTGTGTTCAACTATAGATACTATTCGCAAAATAGTATTGGTATATCTTCTTGTTACATGCTGTCAGTGCTTTTTTTGTCATAGAGCGCACCAGAACGGAGTTCTGGCACCTTTTTTCCACCAATTTTCCAAGTTTTAAAAGTAACTTTTGAAAATTTGATGTTTGGTCCACGTGGATTTGAATCACCCTGTTGAGCATAGCAGGTCGGCGGCAAAATCATTAAAACGGTGCATGCGGGCTGCTTGTGTGTTGAGTCCGATGTGTGCGTAGTTCGTCCGCGCTGGTTGTGATGGCGCTGCTCGGCTTGTGGCACTGCTCGGCTTGTGATTGGTTGTGTGGTTGCGTGCTGAGCGCTTACTGCAGGCGGTGACCGTTAATGTTCCGTTACACAACTGACGTGTGTGGATGTGTGTACAGTGATTGACTACGTGCGAAAGGTAAATAATTTCATGAGTTCCGGCATCTTTTTTCTTACAAAAAAAGCACTGCATGCTGTTGTAATGGTTTGATGCAACTTTATTCTACCTTCCAGATGAAAGCATACGTCCATTGGACAAGGTTCTGTTTGAGTAACTCACTTTCAGTACAGGAAAGGGAGAAAGGATTATCACCAGGCAAAAAACTTCCAACCCTGTCCAGAATGCAAGAGCCAAACTAAACATTCTTCATTATTTCAGTGCAATTTACTTCACACTGGGCCTATGGCCCTTTGGGGAAGTTCTTTAAAGCATTTACTCTTTCCATTATTATCCTGAAATTCCACACACAGCCTCGAGCTGGTTAGAAAATGAACATTCATCCCCTTTAGAATCAACAGAGATGCTTTTCTTTTTCTATTAAAAAAACTTAACAATCCTCTCCACACAGGAATGGTGAAATGTCAGAACAAAAACAGGACCAGGAAAACCTTAAATTCCCCTTCACAGAATGCCATGATCTTGATCCACATCAGGGCATATCTGCTAATACTGAAATAAACAAACCAGTTATACTTAGATCTGTCATGTGTGATTTGAAGAACATTTAGTTTGGTCCTGAAATTCTAACAGAGTAGTGGGGAAACTTTGGCCCCCTGAAAGGTTGGATTCTAAATCCTAAAATCCCTGACCAAACCAGATATGGTTGATGGGAACTGAAGTAGAACAGCACCTGGGGAGCCACATGTTCCTCTCTCTGGTAAGCAAACCTATGCAGTCATTGTCTTAGTAGGGAAGATTAAAAGACACAGGTGTGGAGGAAAGGGAGTGGGCCATAAGGCCCCCAAAACAATAGTTTCCATATGGGATTGGAAAAATCCCTTTTAGGATCTGATGGTGAGTTTACTGATGAGTGTTATCTAGCACTTTTATAGCAAGTGTCTTGACATTACTTACACAGACAGTAACATGGTAATGAAAAAGCATCAGTCATTATGAACAGCTTACAGCTATTCCAACAAGATGTTACATGTCATGCGGGAAAAACATTATGGCTTCCAGAATGCTTCTAGGAAATTATTCACTTATACTATACAAACCCTACATTATCTGTGCTGGACATCAGTTTGTTTTCAAGTTCAATTTATAGAATTGGCCTTAACCTGTAAGCCAGATTATTTAAGAACTGGTATATGTGAAGAATTTTCTACATTCATATGAACCTACCTGGAGTTTAAGGTCAGTGCCAGAGACTCAGCTCTCTGATCTATCAGGAAAGGTCAGGTTAGTGACTACCTGCGACACAACCGTCACAATGGTGACTCTAGATTTGCTAGATTTGTGTTGGTGCTACCTAGTCTTCATTTGTTATAATAAATGTAATAATAATAATAATTTGCTAAAATGATTGAGTCAGCCCTGAGTTGTTTCTGCATGTACCTTACAAAATATGCTGCAGGAAGGGGTTAGTGTTCTTGGCCCTTAAAACTGTCATCTTAGCATTAACATGTTATGTGAAAAAAGCATATAAACTTAACTTTCTTTTATATTTTCAATTCAACCCTTTGCTATTTCTGCTCTCTTTTCAATATTTACAGATAGATGATGTGTGTTCTACTTACCTGACCAGGGATACACCATCTCAGGTAATTCCATGGAAAGAAATTCAGATATAGTCAAAATTGTTGAAAAAAGTGTTATCAGTTCAATAATCATATGTGTTTCCTTGCCTTTAAGTCATCTAATGTGCTAGAAGATCTTTGCTTTATGGTTCTGGAACTTCTACAGAAAGCCCAGGTAACAGCATTATTCATGAAACTTGCTTGCCAACATACCATGACCAGTGCAATGCATACAGTAACTGTCTACAGGACTGTAAAGACACACTTCTCAGCTTTGTCGTTTTCTGACAGGAATTGATCCAGGACCATGCACAGACTGTCATGTTTACACAGTTAGCAAAATTATTGCTATGGTCTGACAAATAGTACAGATGTAGACAATCTTTCGTTCTTGCTTTGGGAGAATTCTGTATCAAACTGCTAAATCATTGATCAGAACTGGTAACGTCTAATCTGTACATATTTTGTAGTTGGGAATCAATATATTGCCCCATGTTTAAGTTCACTAATTCTTCTGTTGAATAAAAGTAGCAGGACAGTGGAAACCTGAGCCAATTTCCTGAGAAATTGTCTGAGAAACTAAGTAAATTTAGTTTACTATGGTTTCTGAAGCTGGCTCATTTAACAATAGTTAAATTGTTAACAATAGTTTCCATTTCAGACAAAAGAAGAAGCTGTGTTTAACTAGAAGCAAAAGTTTTGAAACATCTTCCTTTGGCTGCTTGTGGGAAGAGAAAGGGCTATCCCATAAAGCTGATTGGCAGGAGATTCCAGACAGATAAAAGGAAACACTGCTTAACACAGCATATAGTTAATGTATGGAAAGCACTTCCACAATAGGTAGTGATGGCCACCAATTTACATTGTTTTAAAAGGGGATTGGACAAATTCATGGAGGAGAAGACTATTAGTGGCTACTAGTCCTGATAGCTATATCTTGAAGAGACTGGGCCCCTAGAATACAGCATTTCAAGGTTGTTACCTTTGAATCTGAACTGGAAGAAAATTTGGTTTTTGAATTCTCTGCTGAAATGCCAGGATTATCTTGCCGTGATATAAGCCAAGTGATTGAGAACCAGACCACCTCTGGTTCTAGGGAAGAACTGTTGAATAGGTAGAACCAGAAAGGGATTGATAAAACAATCAGTTCCGTGGTTCAGCATCAGGGCAAAAAAGCAGACCAATTGTATAGCATCTGGCATTCCTGCAGTCTGGCCCAAACACCTTGTGACTGGGAAGGATCAAGGGATTTAGCTTGGAATCAACTTCTTCACTGAGCAGTCTCTTCCTAATTAGATGGTTTCCTTACATGATAAATGTCTTTTGCTAACAACCTCTGCAGTTCTTGTTTTGTATTACAAAGTCAGCCTGGTTGGCCCACTTTAACATAGTAAGAACTGTAGTTAGAAGCTTCTTGTCTTGATCTGCTTTTTAGGTAGGATACTGTGCTCATAATAGCATGATTAAAATTAAAGTATTGCCTAGCAATCTGGAAATTATTTGCAAAACACCTCAACTATATTGTTCGGCTATGCAAATAAGTTGCCACATTCTGAGTCTCAAATCAACAATTGCAAACATATTAAAAACAGTAACAGTAAGTACATTACTACATTATTTCACTCTACCACTCAGAAATCCTTGCCAATTATTTCCGCAGGAGATAGATGAAAAGGACAACACCAAAAGAGTAAGTTCTAGTCTGTCTTTTTTTATTATGTTATACCTGTCTAGAAAATCCTAACACATTAATCTCTCTTAAAGTAAAATCCACTTTTAATTTCTTTGAACCGTTCTTATTTCATTATTCTAAGACCCATGACACAGGCAACTCTAACATTCTGGTAAATTGAACTGCCCCTTTTCCTCTGCGTAAACACTTGCTTATATCTAAAAACAACATATTGTCATTGTTCTTTGGACTTACATAATCCTTCCTGGTAGGAATAATAATTAATCAATTTGTTATTTAAATATAACTCATCAGTATAAGTCTGACTAAAAAAGCCAGATGACACTGAAGTCTGACAAAGACAAAAGTACACCATTCAGGAAAATTTTTCTTAAGGAAAAAATGGGTGAAGATCATCTCTGCTCTTGACTAAAGTCACATCTGGGAAAACCTTAGTGTTTTAAAGTAACTCTGAGGCTGAATAGCCATCTAAATTAGTGCTTTTCTCTAAAATGTGATATGCACCTTTATATTATAAATGTAAGGTACACATGTTGATAAAGTTCTACTTTGAGTTTCATCATATAGAATAAATCCAATATCCTATGCATAAACCTACAGGAAAAATAAGTGTTCTAATCAGGTCCTTTTTTTACAGTACAGCAAAACATCATTATTTGTCATCATACATACACATATACATCTGTGTCATTTATCATACGTCTAATGTTGGTGCTATTTTTATTAGGTTACATTTACTGTAATTTCATGTAACTTACAGTGTTCCATGTGTCCCCATTGTTGTTTAAGTTGCGGGTAATGGAATAAATATATTAAAATGTTATAAAGCTAGAAAGAAATACTACCTTGCAGCTAAAACAATCTAACATGTATGACATTGCCAAGCACCTTAACAGTTGTTTTGTGGCTTGAGAAATAAGGTTCCCATAGAAGTTTATGTTCTGTGATGTCCATCATATTATAGGACCAACATGCTTATGCAAGGAAATGGGGAAAGGGGCACTAAATAGCCAGGCATTGGATTTCTTGTACCATTCCAATAAATCATTCTACATAAATCAATTTATATTGGTTAGGCACTTTCTTTGTTGTAAGACTATTGAACAATGGGATTTGTTTCAGGTTTTAATATTTTGCCTTGAGCCCAACTGGCACAATGAAGACAATTCTTTTATAATACCTTTTGCAAATAACATTGATGCTGCATGTGCATATTTGATGCCTGAAATGTTTTGTGCCATTTTAACAAGAATATAAATAAAAATAAGAAGTTAAAACTTTATTCTTTAAGTATAGTGCAATTCAGTTATACTAAAAGCCTTGAGTACCTCTCGGTGGGACACTCTAGAATTCTGCTTATGCATTGGAGTGCTTGTGAAGTTGCCTCTCCTGGCTAGCAATTTAGGTTTTGGGGCAGCAAAGGTTTAACCCTGAGGTAACCTGAGCAGGAACAGAATGGATGCAAAAAAGACTAAAGAATGAGGAAGAACAGGAGCTAAGAACTGAGATATCTAGGTATGGGATTTATCAATTGTGACCAGAAACCACCACCTGCTTGTTAGCAGTACAGAGCCATGAAAAGCTGCCCTGACAGTGCATTTCCCAGCATTAAATAATCCAGGCTCTAGTTGCTAGTCAAGTATATTGGCATCCCAGTGAGGCTTCAGCCTGTGTGTTTCTCTTACGGTATGTATCCGGTACTATGGACATCTCCTTCATGGTATTAGGTAAATCATGGTGTCATGAGTGAATTCAAAAGGGTGCTGCTCCTTGATCAGTGAAAGGTGGGGCATGATCTTCCCTTTGACAGAGCAATGCCTGGATACAAATAATTATGTTCTTGATTCTTCCTAATCTGGAATTCTCCTTCTCTGGAGATCCCAAGATTTTCCACAATAATTCAGATTGTTCTTTTATACTGTGCTTATATGGAAGATTCTTATGGCAGTGAGTGAGCACTTACCTACCGCTAGCTTATCCAGTTAGTGCATCTCCTTTTGAAGCTGTTCCATGTGTGTACCCATTTCAAACTAGCAAACAAACACAGGCATGAGAATTTTTGACACTATGAGAGTTCAGGTGTTTGCATCTAACCTGCAACAGCAAAATGCCCCATCAGATTCCCTTCATTCTTTGCTTTGCATGCTGTGTTTATGAGTCATTTCTGCAGTAAGAGGTTTTTGTTTTGTTTTCACATCCCGAGGCCAGGATTTCATTGTTATTCATGTGTCTGTATTCATGTCCTCTTAGTCATCTGTCCTGCATCCTTTGCTGCAACTCATTCCCCAACTGCATGAGAGGAGACTGAAGAGAAACAAAGTGGACGTATGTAACTTTATAATTGTGCTCATTTGCATTCAATTGATGTGTGTTATTTTTTTCTTTAAAAAAAAAAACCCCAAAAAAACAAAAATCCTTTATCCTTGATCATTTTACTGGGTTGGATCATGCTTTGCTGTGCAATCCTATGCTTGATTACTAAGAAGCACTCCCACTATGGTCAATGGAGCTTCCTCTTTGGCAAGCATGTTAAGGATTGCAGCTTTTAGTTCACTGCAATCAACAGGAGTTAAGTTAGTTATGACTAACTTGTGCTATTTTGCTTCAGAATTTTTATGTGTACATTGATATGGCATTTTTGAGGATGCATAAAAGTGAACATAAATCCAATGTGTGCATAAGTAAGTGTATTATCCTTCCATTCAAATAGTTAAGTATGATGTTGTGCGATTCTCATTGAAATTCATTACATTAACAATACTGTCTGGAGGCCTGTTCCTGCTAGCTACTGTATCAGCACAATAGCTTATAGGATGAGACTTATGATCAATTAGGATGCAAGTAGCCCTGTTGCACCCATGATTGAGCCATGTCAATGTGCATGAATGCCAAAGGCTGTAATAGGCAGGTGCTACCAGTGTGAACTAACAGTGGTAAGGGGAGGCCAACCTCCTTCTTGACTAATGTGCAATTTGTAAGTAATCAGCATTCTATCAGTCACAGCAGCCTGTCCCTTGAAAAAACTAAAACATGAACACAGGCCTTTCTACCCATTTTACCTTTTATTTCATATTTCCTCTTCATATTTACAATGAGAGAGAGAGAGAAATTAGGAACTGCTTCAGAGTCAAGGTTCAACTGAAAGCTCTCCTTTTGTTCTTGAAGCCCTTGCCTGATTCCAAATAGACTTAATCCAAAGAAAGCTGTATTTAGTTCAGCAACTAGGCTTTCTTCCTAGTTGGTGCCCTTAGTTTTGCAGCCAGCAGTATCCCTCCAGTCTTGTGTGTTACATGCTCTTACACACAAGATGGTGCCAGGAGAACAGCCAGCCTTAACATGAGTCTTAATTGGCAAATCTTAGAATACCATTACAAAGAAATAAATAATCAAGTTAGGGCATATTCCTACATGTACTAGATAGAGGCCAAATTTCCATGTCACCACAAGCAAGGGCATGTGTTGCCATGATTGGTGGTGAATTA